GCTCTTAATCTCCATGCTGGAATCAGCGAAGAAATTATTATGATGTTTATGAACGATGCTTTAAAAAGGGCCGAAAAAGGCGAGATTTGGTTATTCTTTGATGAAATCAACGCTTGCAATTATATAGGATTACTTGCAGAATTAATAACCCATCGAATGCTCAACGGTAAACTTATACATCCAAATATCCGTTTTTTCTCTGCCTGCAACCCATACCGTCTTCGTACAAAAACTCAAAGCGAAGTTATAATATACGAAGAGCAAAGCAGTCTCGTTTATCAGGTTAAACCACTTCCTGATCAAATTTTGGACTATGTATGCGACTATGGTAGTCTAAAGCCAGACGATGAATACAAGTACATTCAAATTATGGTTGAAAATGAATTAACAGATCTGGCACATCCAGTATTTGCAGAGCTCCTATTTGCTTCTCAGAAGTTCATTCGTGAGGTTGAGGAGCCATATAGTGTTAGCTTACGTGATGTCAAGCGAGCTATAACGCTGGTGAAATTTTTTTATAAATCTCTTGAAAATCGTCCTGCTTATAGAAAGGAGAATATATATCCACCACCTGGAAATCCGAACGCAAGAATAAGATCTTATATTTTAGCGCTTAGCCTTTGTTATCATTCTCGATTTAATAACATAAATTTACGTAAACAATATCGTCACGAAATTGAACAAGTATTACAAAATCATGAAACTTATGTGGGAGAACATATATTTGCTAAAGTTATTCGTGAAGAGCAGGAAGACTATATTAATAGAATGCAATGTCCACCTAATACAGCAAAAAATGAAGCTTTATTAGAGAATGTTTTAGTTATGATTGTATGCATCTTAACAAAGATTCCCTTATTTTTAATCGGAGCTCCCGGGTTTGTAATGAAATTTTATTTGACCTAGTTTTTCTTTTTCTTTTTTTTTATTACTAATATTTTATTAACTCAAAATTTTATATAAATAAGTTCATCAAAAACTTTGGCAATTCGTCTTATAAGCTCAAATTTGCGTGGATCTAATTCGAATGACCTGTATTTTAAATCTTTACCACAATTTTACTGGATTCCACATCATAGTTCTTCGTTTTCAACTTCTGATGGTATAATTAAAGTTTTTGATGAAGCTAATAAATATCAGGAAACATATTCCAAACAATCTCCAGTTATTAGTGTTGTTTTGCTTGATCAAGGTAATTTGTTCATTTTTTGTTCCATTTATACATATATATTTATAAAAAAAATTTGCATTTAGTCGGTTTGGCTGAAACGAATCCTTCTAATCCATTAAAAGTACTTCACCCCTTGCTCGAACCAAGCTATCCAGCAAAAGGACCTACTGTTTCAGTGGTTGTAATATCAAATTGGCGCCTGGATATCAGTAAAAGTAGTCGTGCATTACTTGTTCAAGGTAATTAAATTTTTTTTTGAAATTATTTGCGAAATATATATTATTGATGAACTTCAATGTTATTTCTTTACAGACCACAATTTGATTTAGATGATTTAATTGATACCACTGAACAGTTATTAAGTACGAAAGTTATTGGACATTATCAAAGAGAAGATTTAGAAACATTAGCAAAAGCATATTCGGTTTATGAAAAACACGGTCAAGACTTGCCTAATTTCCATGGTCTTCGAGATTTTTACGCGCTAGTCAAACGGCTTTCATTAGCAAAAATGACACCAGAGAATATTCAAATAGCATTAGCTCGTAATTTTGGGGGAGCAGAAAATAACAAAAAATTGTACGACGAATTCTTTGGAGACTTTCTCAAAACTATTAATAATCACAGTCCATGGTTCTATAAACCAATTCCAATTGAGCAACCAATCGGTTCAAATTTAAATGATTCTGATGCGCGTCATTTATTGATTATCGGTAAAACTGATTCTATTGTAAATTTATTAACTTATCAATTAAGAAAGAAACTATTGGATCCTGTTGTGATTTTAGGATCACCATTTCCTGACGATAAGGATGATTATTCTTATAGTGTTTTGAGTAGAATTATGGTAATAATTTGAATTTCTTTGGTAAAGTTTTCTATTTCTTATTTCTAAATAAAATAATCCGTTATTAGATGTGTGTTGAAGCAGGCCGACCATTGATTCTAACAGATCTGGAAAACATTTATGGTATTTTATTAAATTTATTTAATTTAATTTGGAATCATTTGTAAATTTTATAAATTATATTTTATAATAAATAGGTAGTCTTTACGATTTATGGAATCATAATTATATTAATGCCAAATACTTCACACGAGTTGCTCTCGGGGCATATGTTAATCCTATGCTGTATGTATTTGAATTTCTTATTCTTTTTAATTAGTTTCTAATTTCAATTAATATGTATTAATAATATTTTGGTATTTATAATTTGGTAGTTGCGTTTCACCAAGTTTTAAATGTATTCTTGTCATGGATGAAAAGAATTTGGCTTCGGCCGATTCAGCACTTCTTAATCGATTTGAAAAACACAAAATGTCAATTCATGATACTCTTAATGACAGGCAGGAATTACTTGTAGAAAATTTAGGCAATTGGGCAAGACAAATATCAACTTTAATTGGAGTTAATCAAATAGCTCCATTATATGAAAATTTTACGCAGAAGGACCTGTTCATCGGTTTCGATAAAGATGATGCTATACAAAGTTTAGTACTTTATGTTACACAGAGTAATCCAAAAGCCGAGAATGAAAAGATTTTGAAAATATGCAAGGAAAGTTTAATTGCATTGATATCTCCTGACGGCATTTTAAGAGCCGAACATTCAATTTTGGATCGAGATGAAATTATTAGATTAAATCATGTTTATTTTCATCAACAATATCATGATAGTCTATATGATTATTTTAACTCCGTATTTAAACATGAAAAATCATTAGAAAATCCTGAAGGATATTTGCTAATAATTATTAACACTTTCTCTAATATTAATACGGATGTGAAGGGTTGTTTATTAGATCAATTAAGGTGTCAAGTGTATAACTTATCAATCTTTAGAACCGAAGCACAACTTTCAAATCGGATAAAGCATTTCTTTTTTGAATCAAATGACCAAGTGTTGTTCCTCCAATGCGATATAGCAGCTATTGACGCTAAATGCATTAAGTTCACGAAACACATTATTGAGCAATTTGCAAATGAATTTTTGGTCGAAAAAAGAAATTTTGAAACGAAATACGCGTGTATAATATTTCATATTCAAGAGGGTTATGAACAAAATTCAATACTGCCTAATTTCATGTGTGGTTGGAAACATATTACTATCAAATTTTTAGATCCACAAAAGATATCCTTAAAAAATCTTTTGAATGAATCAAAATCTAATTCCGAACTTTTTGATAAAATGGTTAATTCAACAATACCATTTGAAAATATTCTAAAAGATGAATTATTTTGGTGTTTATCATGTATAAAATATAAACAATTTAACGAAAATTATATCAGGTATGTATGGTAGTACTAAAATTAGTTGTAATTTATATATTTTTTTAAATACTAACACTAACATTGTATATTTTGTCTATAGTATATTAAATAAAAGAATTTTAAGTAATACGAATTTTATAAAATGCATTAAAACAAAGACCTTAGAGTGGATTTCAGAGAATTGTACTTATTGGCATTATGAGATAGCTTTAAATAAGAAAAATTTATCAAACTTCAAGATAATTATTAGGCAAACGATTGCAAAAATTTTATATTCGCTTGAAAAGTTATCAGCAACAACAACATTTTTCGATATCGAAAACGATCAATCCGAAATGAAAGAAGATTTGTCTGATCTATGGAGGAAATTCTTTATGGATAATACCATTATCAATATTAATAATTTACCTGAACCGAAACCTTCTGTATATGTTATGTCATCCTTAATAATCCAGGATCTTGAGTTTCCTTTTTCATATTATTATATGAATCAGATCAATCGTTATAAGTATTTTTATTATGACGAATTGGACATATTAAAACAAGTTCCAGAGAATGTTGACCATAATCAAGAATTATATGAAGAATTGATCGAAGATCATTTGGAAGATTTTAAGAATAATTTAATTTCTATTGATCCAAATTTTGAAAAATTACAAAAATATTCAAAATTATATTATAATGATTTTATTAGAATAATTTTATCAACTTATACTACCAAAAGATTAATTAATAAGGAAGAATTAGATTTTATGGTGACACAATTATTTGGAGATAAAATAGTTAATGATCCATTTCTACTTCATATTTATTGGTGGAAATATGCAGATAATGTTTTGATTCAATTAAAATTAGTTGAAAATTTTCCAGACATGATTACAAAGATTCGAAATGATCTCATTATTCATGGAAAACTTGATCAATATCTTTTTAGGGAAGCAATAAATTTAGTCCTACAAAACATATGTGATGATAAACCATGGAAAAAAGATGTGGACATTATTTTTTCTCTAAGTGATAAATTCGATGATGCAAAAGAATATTCAAATTTAAATTTATTACTCGTATGTAACGATTTATTAAATATAAGGTCGATTCCATCGGGAAAGATCAAAGAAATCATTTATTTGGGAAAATCTAGGAATCGAGAATTTATCACATCTGATATTATTAATTTAATCTTTGATAATTTAAAAGATGATGATTTGATCCCCATTAGATCATTTATTATGAGACTTCTTGTTTTTCTCCCGTTAGAATCCGAGATTCGGATAATTCTTTACAAAAACATATTTTCACGAAATCCTTTTAAATTAATGAGTGTAATAATTAGAAAGGTTTTCGACATTGAAAAACAACAGAATGAGCAAATCTTTTTTACATTGATAATGAATTCTGAAGATGCTTTACAACTTTCCATTGGACTGAATGCTATTAATGACATCATCGAAACCATTAACTCGGATATAATGATATTTTGTTGTGAAACTATACAAACAATTTTTAATGAATTTGAATTAAAAGAATTATTACCATATTTCAAATATTCTATTGAAACAATTTCAAAACAAGATCTGTCTTCGCAACAAATATCTACGATACAACAAATAACTTTGGTATCATTTCTCAAAGAATTTGTATATGAATTCTGGAAGAACTATGTACAAGAGGATAATTCTTTGTCTAAATCATTGATTAAAGAAATTAATGATTGTATGAAAATTAATAATTCATTCATACAATCCTTACGATCTTACTTTGTATACCAACGAGATCTTTTCGTTGATGTGAATCAACTGAAAATGTTAGAAGAGATATTCCCATGGTTTAAAAAATATACATCTGAAGACCTTCCCAAAATTTGGAAATCAACGAAAAAAGTGAATTTTGAAGATTTTCGTGCTTTTTATAGTATCAATTTCACGCAAAATTTAAAAGAGTATCCATTCCTTTCAGTATATTTTAAGCATCATGAGAAACTAGGACTCATCAAGTATCTTCATCCAATTGTTAGATTTGTGAAGATTTTGAACTTTAAACTTGAACATAGTTTAACTAGGAAAACCGCACAAATTATGACATTTCAAGAATTTTTAGAGAAAAAATCTGAAAGTGAAAATTTAAGATCATTATTTGAAGAATTTGCTATTGGTTGGAATTGTGTTATTCATTATGTTGTTCAATATCAGTCCAAGGAATTACCTATTAACAAACCGGTTATGAATCTTGAACTTCCTGTTATTTTTGGTCTAATCGAACAAAAGGATACTGGAATTTATTTATGTGCGATTTTGGACTTTTTGATCAAATTGCATAATGAATTTTTGGATAACCTATTAGCTATTCCGGTTGAAATATCAAAATATAAATTGATTTCCAAATCGATTAAAGTGATTCATGCACAAGATGATCATTTCATTGATTATGAATGGAATGATAACATTTTAAAATATAGTCAAAGGAACCTAAAATTGGAAATGAATACCAATTTCATATTTGATTTACAAAAAATCGAAAAGAAACTTGCTAAAAAATTGATTTTTGGCAAAGTTCATTTCGAAACCGAGGATGATGATGACTTTTACTTAAAAAGTTTTTCATTTAAACATGAATTATTTCATAATTCATCAAGGATGCTTTTTTATGTAAAAAGAATATTATCACAAGAACCTGTTCCGGAAGATAAAAGACCATCATTTATCTTACGAAATTCATTAAATTTATCAGAATTACATTTTCTCTTGGATGTAATGCTTTGTTTTATAAAAGGATTATCAATTAAGGATAGGGATATTCTTATTGTAGACTTTGTTAATCAATGGTTAAAATTAGCAAGATATGATATAACTTATATAAACATATTTAATGAATTTTCTTTAAAATATATTGTATCATTATATGAAATAATTGAAGAGCAAGTGGCAAATCCGATAATTCATAATGTTGAAGATAAATTTAAAGTTTCTTTAACGGAACTAATGAAGGATTCAATTAATAATTGTGTAAATTATCTCCCCGAAAAAGGATCTCAACTTATTCCTGCCGAGACATTTACCCTTGCCTTAAAAAGATTTATTTATAGATTTTTATTGGTCGAATCTAATATTGAAGACTTAAATCTAAGCATGTATTTCTTAGATTTTACTTTGGATTTGTGGACTAGCGATATCAAGCAAGAATTGATTGTAAGATTGTTTCCTACTGATTTATTGGTATCACATGCCTATGATAGTTATATCTATATCATTAATGAAGTGGAGGTATTTAATTCTTTATTTACAGAATAATTTACTTTAATATTATTTTTAAATAATTTATTAATTTATTTATTATTGATAATAGAAAGCAAAGGTTGATAAAAAAATTAATCAAAATCTTTCAACTGTATCAACAGCTGGCACTAGAAGAACTTTACAAAGAATTAAGAAAGTTAAAACAGTTACAGATTAAGTTTTGTAAATTATACATGGTATGGCATTAATGGAATAAATCCTTTTAACGGGTTAACATTTTTGAATTAAAAGATACATTTAATAATTCGGTTAAATAAATTATTAATAAATTATAAGATGCTGAGTAACGCGTTACGCATTTTACAAAATGAAATTGTTTTGCCATTTCACTTTGTTAACGCAACGTTTTTGATCGATACCTACGTCATATTGGCGCTGTATATCTTTTCCGCGGAAAAAAATTTCTTTAAATAATGTTTATTTTTACTATGGTTTCTTATCAAAATTTCTCATTAAATCTCTTTCCAAAAGAATAAAACTATTTAATTTCTTTCTAATGGTTTTTATGGATGGTTCAATTACAAAATTGAATTGTTAAAAATTGACGATAATTTCCAAATAAAAAATAAACCTGAGCTATAAAGAAAGTTATTACTTAATTTTGTGAATAAGTTTCCATCAGAGTTAATAAAAATATTGAATGTTTATTGAGAAAATATTTGAAAAGGAAATTACTTTTCGCTGTGAGAAAAAATAAAGTTAAAATATTCTGGCTCCTGAATCAACCAATCAAATTTGATTTAATAGTTATTCGGCACGAATTTTCGAATAAGTATTGTTTATTATCTAGCATATTGATTGAAGCGATTAAATTTTTTGGTGCATCTCTCAGGAGCAAAAATTAGCGGTACAGATGTATTCAGTTCAGTTCTTTCGTTTATGTATTTATAAATAATTTTAAATGTAAGCTGAAGGTTTTTATTGGAGTAAAATGAAGTAATGTTGATATTTAATTATATCAAATTAATCAGTATTGACTCAATGTCAATATATTAACTAAATAAATGCCAATAAATAAAACTCTAAATTTATTAAACTAGCAATTACGAAAATTGAATAATAAAACAATAAGAAAATTGTGAATTAAGAAATTAAACGAAGTTACAATAATAAATTTAAAATGTTAAAACGGCGAATGCGAAAATATCGCGAAGGGATTAAAGGAAGGGGTGAGCGTGAATGATTGGTTGTTTTAGGATTTCCGGCTCGTATTTATAAAAAAAAAAAATAATTACTAGGACAGCCTGGAATCCTGCCATTATACTGGCATCGTGACAACCTTGACAGCCTGGCAAAATGATCTTCAAAGGACTAACTGCAAATATCGAAAACGATTTTCATAAAATTATGGAGTTTCCTGGAGAAATTATATTCAATGTAACAATATTCTATTTCTCTGAACTATAAACATTCTGCATTAAAATCATTGCTATTTCATATCATCGCTTATAACCAACCAGACTAGCGATAGTGACAATTTAGAAATAACCTCATCTCCTATAGAAGAACCCAGAAAATTTGTCTCCCTAACACACACAGTACATGATTCGATTTCAATTCTGACAGGTTTTTCTTAATCAGATCAGAATCAAGAGTTTTCTTTTTTCTTTTATTTTAAAAAATTAAAGGTTTCAGTATATTAATATAGCTCTGAACTACAATTTAAAATGTCTAGCGCGTTGTCTCCTAGTTGTAAAGATGTCATTGATAGACTTTGCCTTCTACCAAAATAAACTGTGCAGATTAACCATCCTTCACGCGATATCCCCTCCTTTTGGACTAATGTCCAAATTGACGGAGACGGACAATGACAAATAATTTTTTTAAAATGGTGGAACCTTTATTTATGTTTTGTCAAGCAATATTTTATGAAAACAATTATACAACTCATATGACAAGACTAAAAAGATCAGAATAAAATAGATAACTTACAAGATCGATCGACATTCGACTGCATTCCAAGGATGAGAGTATCCAATACGGCTCGTCGATTATGACTGCGCTACAAAGATGGGAGATATCCAACAGGGCTCGGGTTGCGTGAGCACCCACTCATGAAACAGTTTTTGATTAACATAAGGGAAGGGGATAGCAATTTCTTTTCAGAAAATCGCAGACCCTTACCTATTCACGGGCAGTTGTACCGGCCCTTCTCAATTGTAGACAATTAAAAGTCGGTCCCTCTCATCTTGATGAAAAGAAAATTAAAAAAATAAAATGGTAAAGTTACGAAAATCAAATTTTTGTATACCGTATTTGCCACTTCTATATTTTATGTCCACTTCTTTATTGTTGACTAATAAATTAAGAATATTAATCATTAATAAGGTTTATCACTAATACAGCACACTTTTTTTTAAAAAAATTTTTTAGTCTTGTCAATATGAGTTGTTATCTATTGTGAGAAAAAGGAAGAAGAAGGAAGTCTGAAATCCGAACACGAAATAAAAGTTCGTCTCCAGATATATTCATCGATTTAAAAATAAATTCTAGAAAAAGAAGTGGAAAAGGAATTAGTTATGGAACCTAAGTAAAAATTGTCTTGTAAAAAGGTAATCAATAGGTCGGAATATCAGTTACGCTTAGGAGTAAATATCAAGGAGAAAAATTTTCACGGAATGACGAGTGGAAAACTATTGTCGACAATGATAGGGTACTACATTAAAAAAAAAGAATAAAGAGCTTAACCAGCAGGTTAAGATATGTATGAAATCCAGATGTCAACTACGGCAGGAAGATAGACTTTCGCTGAAAGAAAGTTAAAGCCGGACAATTTATTCAGGTGATTTTTAATTTATTAATGTTATAGGTATAGATCATTATATCAGATTTTTTAAAATGGAGAATAATCCTAGATACAAATTTTATATTTTAGATAGAAAGAAAATTTAATAAAATTATTATTACTATTTATTTATTTATTTATTTTTTTGGTAAGCATTATATAGTTTTGTATAATGAACTTTTTTAAAGATGCAATTTAATTTAAGATCAATATAATATATTATGTAATAATATCAATAAAAGTGTATAAATCATAAATTCTACAATTGAAAAATATTAAGTTATACTTTAAATCATTTTATTATTTTATAATTTCTTTTTTAAAAAAATAAAAATAATATAAAATAAAATAAAATAAAAATAAATTATAATCTAAAAAATAAAATTTGATTATTAAATTGCATTTGATTTTCTTTTCTATTTCTTTTATTCATTATTCTCAAAAGAATTTGTATTTTTTATATTTACAAAGGTCTCTGAAAATAAATTATTATGTGTAAAAAATATTAATGAATACCTAATATTAAAATATAAAAGATTATCATGTATAAGTAAATTTGATCTAAATGCTAAAATATTTTCTATTAAGTTGTGAAAATATTACATTATTTTCTTCCCAATTTCCTAATGATATAAGCCAACAAAATTCATATTTATTATCATTATGATCGATATAATTGTTACAAATAGTATTAAAATTTATTGTACACATTTCTAATACTTTAAATAATTTTTTTACCTATATAATAAATAAAAATAAGTATAAATAAAAATAAAGTTTATTAAAATTAATGATTTTTTAAATTAAATAATTTACCTGATCTGAAAAACAAAAATTACTTAAATTATTAAATATTGACAGATAATAATATGTTATTATATCTGAAATATAATCTGCTAATTCATTAATATTATATAACATTTCATTAATATAACTATTAATTATTAAAATTAATTATAAACTATGAATGATTTAGATATTCTTCATATTTGCCCTTTTATTTCTACAAATATAATCTTAGAATTAATAAACTACTTAATTATTATTATGAAAATCTTAAAATATTATGTAAATGGCTAGTGTCACTGGATTCATTTTTGTTTATCTTAATGTCTAAGTTAAAAAGCTGTGGCAGCTGATTCTACACATTGGAGTTTCTGACCTTAGGATTTTCTCTAAGTCCTACAAGTATCTGTTATACTTAAATCAACTCAGCAATTTATCATATCTTAGAAATTAAGATATAATTAGTCAAACTCATAATGACGAACTCAATAGTAGTTAGTGTAGTGTATCATAATAATTCTAGATAAAGGACAATGTGGAAGGAAAAAGTAAATTTGTATGAATTTAAATTGATTTCTTTATTTATAACTTGAAATTCACAAAAAAATTTAAAAACTTATAACTGAGTTAATAAACTTGCAGAAGAGTTAATTTACAACTTAAGCAAAAAGTTATTCTATTTATACAAAATAAATTTGCTACAGCTAACTATTAGCTACACTATAAATTAACTACATATAGATATATATTCTAATAAAATATACTTAAACATAATAGAATAATAAAAATAATATAAACTATAAAAATAATAAAAAGAAATAAAATAAATTACAAATGTTAAGAAAATTATAGGTGAAACAGAATAAATAGAATAAATAGACTGTATAAAAAATACAGAAGAAATAAGCAAAATAAGCAAAATAGAAATTATTGTTAGTCACTGTTTGGCATAGTAGTGACATCATCTAATATGAGATCATCATTAATTAACAAATTTCACATGATATTTAGAGCTGTAATTTCTTTCATTAATAATTCTCCTCTAACTTAAATTTTGAATATCATAGTGAGAAAGATTTTACCTTCAAAATAAGATTCTGTATTTACTTTTTGTTAATCATTATATTTGCTAAATTGTTAAGACTTTTGTTTGCAAAAGTTAAGATATCCCTAATTCTTGAAATAATATAAAAGTCTTTACAGCAGTCTCTCTTTGATACAAATTCAAAACTAGTTTAGCTCATTTGTAATTGATATCTTTTAGAGAATCTAAAAGATCTCTAGTAAAGTACATGTTCATTAACATTTTAATTCTATTTCTTGCTACTTTTGTTTATCAGTAATTTCTTTGAATTATTCTCATTTTTATTCTAGAGTCATCTATAGGTTAAAATAAATGATACCATTCTTAAGTCTGTAATGATTTTATTTACGTTATGTCTTATAAAAGTTCATCTATCTTTACAAAAACTGATATAATAGAGAATAATTATGATTTATATATATTTTATTATATGTCGATCACTAGTTGTGGTTCCCATGACTATTGATCAAAATAACTTTTAAGTAGATCACCATTTACTGAT